AGGGGATATCTATGCCCACCAGAGGATCTTTTCAGCAAGACTATCAAGATGATTCAATCACTCTCCAAGTCAACCCAACAAGTCGCTGTGGTGGTGGATGTCTCTTCTAGGCAACTTAACATCTCCACAGGATATGACTCTTCAGAGGAAGGCTGATGCTACATTCTATACAGACATGGATCCACTCTATACAATCTCACGGCCTAGAGTTCCAGACTCAGTTACCTCCCAGATTACTACGAGACCTCCATTGGTGGAATCACAGAGACCATGTGATGAGCGGCATCCCTCTGACATATTCGACGCCCGAACACCATCTATTCAAAGATGTGTCAGATTCGGGATGGGGAGCCCATATGGACAACCTCACAGTACAGGGATTGTGGAACACAGAAGACGGAGACCGCACGATTGTTTGCCTTGGCAGACTCCTTCAGTTTACGGATGGAAGCGAGTCATATACCTGGGAAACAAAATAGAGAGTACTTAACCTGACAATTGGTATCCATCACGGATAAGACAGAAGGGGTCTGCACCTGCGGCTTTATTCTATGCAAGGGAATCCAAACCATTTGAACAGAAACCTGGATCTTCTTACAAGTCTGCAAGGAGTCACGTGACCAACCCTTTCTGTCCATACTGTAACAACAATAAACACTTCCTGAATATATGTCCAGGATTGAAGAAACTAACAGTGAACCAAGTACATCACTGGTTACATAAAGGCAAGTGATGTTGGAAATGTGGGCAAACACATCAGCCAGAGGTGTGCACACTCAAGAAAGCATGTCACATATGTAAGGAAGTGACTGTATTGCATGTGGCTATACAGCAGACAGCCTCCAAAGTGTATTCTGTGAAAGTCAGTACAGGCAAAGTGTACACTGATCAACCCTCATATCCACCTGATATCATGCTAAAGGTGGTCAAAGTGTTGTTGAGAACTATGGTGTTACAATCAACTGTGCATAATGCTTCAGACAAAGCTGGACAGTATGTTGCTGACCACAATCAACAAGGAGCAATTCAGGTGTAATGGACACTCAGTTGACCTGCAAATATCTCCTATTGGCAAACCTAAAATTAGGTACACCATAAAGGGTGCCTTCACTGCAGATAACTAGTGTATGTCCGAGTACACATATCCAGTTAGAGCCCTGTAAAGGCGTTGGCCACATTTGCACAAGTTACCAATACCTAAAATTGATGGAGCTCAGCCAACCACCATTCTCATTGGATCGGACAATGCCCATCTCATACTTCCCATCAGTTTGGACCCATAAATGCACCTATAGCAGTGTCTATCAAACTTGGTTGGTCCCTTCAGGGTTTATCCAATGAATCTGGACCAGAGAACACCCACAGCACCAATAATTCAGATCTTGTTGTGAGCAATGAGCGATTGTGGCATATCAACACTTTGCCTTTCACCGAGAAACATGTGACAAGCTCCAAACAAGATAAACAGGCAATTATGACTCTAGAATCTGAAACTGTCAGGATAGATGTTGATGGTGTTAGTCACCATGCCATCCCACTGTTACACACACAGGATGGAACCTGCTTCAAAAGACATCGACAAATGGTTATGCCTACACTCAGGAGTACTGAAAGGCGACTTAGAGATCGTCTGGATCTTTCCAGAATCAACAATGACCAAATCAAGAAGCTCGTTTAGGCAGGCTATGTAAAGAAACTCACCTAGGAGGAAGTGGAGAAATCAGAAGAATCCTGGTACTTTCCTCACCACTGTTGATCGTTGAACACAATGGGAAGTTTCACCTAGTATTTATCTGCTCCTTTGAGCACAACTGCCAAACTTGAACAAGCACCTTCTGCCTGGGCCAACAGTCAGATCATCACTGCTGGGGGTCTTTCTTCGTTTCCGCCAACATGCGGTTGCAATATCGGGAGACATAAAAGCCATGTTCCATCAAGTAAGACAAACCTCTTCTGCGTTTCATTTGGCGAAACATGGAACATGATCGCACTCCAGATGTGTAAAAATGGCCAGTCCTACCATTCAGCACCACCTGCTTGTCATGTTGTGCCAGCTATGCTTTATAGAAACATGTCTCAGATCATAAATATGGCAATGCGGAAGTACTCAAATCTATAGAGAAGTCATTCTATACACAAAGAAAAACGTTCAGCACACCCTGATCTATTTCATTATTTTTTGGTCCCAATATTTGTCACAGTCATGAAGGATATAATTACAGGAAGAATTATGTTTTCTCGAGATGATGTAACCAGTCATGCATGACGAAAGCTCACATGCCATGCATTGTATGCCTGTGCAGCATGCAGCCCTCAAGTATCTCTAAAAGTAGTATATTTTTTAAGCTCGGTTTTAAACAGTTATTCCATAACATTGTGTGACCATGGCACAAAGGCGATTATCAAATGCCACAAGATGGCAAATAATCGGCATGCAGGAATGTGTTGTAATGCCATTGTTCGGAATTTGGGGTATCATCACACTGTTTAAGGCGTTTAGTCGAGAAACATACTCAGAACAGTGATGTACAGGACCGTGCCAGACCCGGAAGACCTCCTGTGGCGACACATCGCGAAAGACAGGAACCCGAACAAGTACTCGTCTGAAACAGCTGTGGTTGCCCAATCGTCTTTTCAGCACCAGAACCGTCATGAACTGACTGAAAGCAGCAGGAAAGAGGGCTAGATGAGTCATAAAGCGTCCCTTGTTGAGAGATCACCACAAAGCTGCTCATTTAGCATGGTGTATTGCGCGACAGAACTGGAATCTGAGAACTTGGAGACAGATCCATTGGTCAGACGAAAGTCGCTTTCTGCTCCACATCACTGATGGAAGAATGAGAGTTTGGAGGCACCGGAACACGGCCTACACCCCCAGGAACATTAAACAGACTGTTGCATCCGGCGGGTGCTCGGTAATGGTTTGGTGGTGTATCTCTCATGATTGCACGTTGGATTTGGTCACCCTAATGGGCAACTTAACAGGGGCTTAGTATATCCGGGACGTTTTGAGGCCAGTCGTCGTTCCTCATTTTGACAACAACCCTACTGCTACTCAACCTCAGAACATGGATGGCAATGCCAGGCCTCATCGTTCGCATGCAGTCGTGGATTACATGAGGGCCAATGCAATAACGACTCTACCCTGGCCAGCAATGAGCCAAGATTTGAAACCCCTTGAACATGTTTGGGATATTCTGGGGCAGCGCATACAGGCATGATATCATCCTTACAAGATTTACGCCAATCGGAAGCAGCATTGCATTAGGAGTGGTTGTTGTTGACCCAATAACAGATCCAACGTCTGACTGGAGGCATTAGACATAGGTTGGAATGCGTCATCCGGGCACGTGACGGTTATACCTGCTACTGATCTGTTTCACGTGTCATGTCAAGTAGAGACTTTAAGGTACATTTTCACATGAAACATCAAACATAACTCGTTTACTTAATCCTGCAGCTCCATACTTTTTTTAGGTATTGTCTCAGGTCAAAAACAGTACCTGTGTTACCATGATGTTTTTGTCAGTAAATTTCAATCACAACTCACCAATATCTTCTTCATTTGTTGTCAAATGTTTGTTCTATCCGATGACATTGGTATCGCCCAGCTCCTGTGGTCAGTCATCCCATGCCATGATTTTTGCCATTTGTCATGGTTCAGAAATAGGGGTGTGCTTAACCTTTTTCTTTGTGTATATGTTGACAACTGCTTGCATAGCCTACCAACACCACCAGAAGCCAAGGAACTTGTACGGAAAATGAAAGACTTGCTTGCACAAGTGGTTTCAACATTAGGCATATTCCATCTGTTGTGGCAGACCTTCCGTCCGATGCTAGATCGGAAACTACAGAACTTTGGCTTACCTTCGGCCAGGGTGACTCACTAGAGTGAGCCCTTGGCTTGGGTTGGAACTGTGAATCTGATGCGCTCACCTACAAACACAGAACAATAGAGTATAACGAGATTACCATGTGAGTGATCTACAGTATGACTGTGGCAAGATCATTGAGACCTTCATCCTCCCTTGTATATGACAACAGATTGGACAGGTTCGTCCAGTGGAGAAGACGACAAGGGATTATAATTAATGCTATAACCATCCCTATGGTATAGGATTTTCTACTAGAACAAATTCTGACACAGGACAATAGAAGGTTACAGATCAGCCCTATATTCTGTACTTGAACTTGACGGATTATCAATCGGAAACCATCCCATTCTAAACAGACTAATGAGATCCTTTCTACTAGAAGATGTTCGAACGCCTCGTATCTTTCCCAAGTGGAATCTATCGGCATTGTTAACGGAACCTAACAAGCCCATGGCTAAAGCTGGTAACCCTACTCCAAAAAGCCAGGAAAGCGTCTTTTCTTCTAGCCAGGCTACAGCAGCAAGAGTTTCAGAACTCCATGCATCAACATTGGACCTCAATCACTCTAAGATCGCTCCCAGATTTCGTAGCCAAGAATCAGTATTCCTGCCTTGGGGTCGACAGTTGATCACCAAGACAGACTCTTATGTCCCATCAGAGCTCTCAAATTCTATCTCTCGGCTACAGACCCACATAGACGCCATCGAAGGAGACTATTCATATTCTGCAAGCCTCATTCCAATAAGCACATCACCAAGGCTAAGATAGCAGGCTGGCTTAAGGGTACCGTTGCAGCCAGTTATACGCAGGCACAGAATTCTACACTCCATCTTGGATCCTGCCCAGCTCACGAAATCAGAGCCCTAGCATTTAGTCTCGCTTCATGGACATCCGTTTCGGTGGAACAAGTAGTGTCTAGCTGTCAGTGGGCCTCACATGGGACTCGACCCAAAAAAGGACGAGAATCTGCACTTTACTCAGAAAGTGTTATCCCAAATATTACATTTGTTACATTTGACCACTTTCTAAATGGCATTGTGTGTTCAGAGATGAGCTTGTCTGAGCTATGTTCTGTTTTATTGATTTTGAATTGCATCTAAATATTAGTTGTTTTTATATGTTCAGGTGAACTCCGGAAACATCTGGTTGATCTTCGTACATTTGTACCTGGGCAAATAATACAGAACGTCCCCTACACCCCTCAATTATTGATGCAAGATGGAGTACTTATAGCAAGGATGGCATATGCTTTGAAGGTTTGTGCTTATGTATTTTTTAAACCCACATATAGTAATGTAACAATGTCATGGAAATCTATCTGAGTCATTTCCAAAATTTGTAAGATTTTTTGTTATATGTTAGTATCTCATTAATTATGTTATTCTAAAAAATGTGTTTTAATCTTAATTTGTATCTTATATATGTCTGCACATACTACTATAAACAAAATAGCTATAAATTATAGTTAAGCTCCAAAAAATTACTTTGAAGGGTCAAATTTTGCCCATTTTAACTTGTCACAAGCCTGATGGCCCAACTTCATGATATTCAATTTTTAATCCAAAATTAGTTTTTGTCAGACATTTTTGCATATATCTTTAAAGATGTTCTTAGATTAAGTATAACAAATTATTTAAATATTTTTGAATGAAAAATATATGATTTATTTCCGTTTTTATGCTTGTCACAAGGTAACATGTCACTACTGTTATCAGAACTAAATAGTTCGAATAAATGGCGTCTCCCTAGCTGACTGCTTAAACTACTTCCTGTTCCAAAGCCTTGCTTTTTGGATGTCAACATTGCTGCACCTGTTTTTTTGAGACTGCAGAAATAAAAAAAATACAACACATAAGGTGAGTCATTTTTCATATCTCATGTTTTATTACGTCACTACTGTTACTGGGCTTGAAAGAAAACCTATGTCATATAATTGTTGTGTGCATATGTGTACTGATTTTCCATTTTGTGTATAGTTTGGGAAGCATGTGTCTTTTGATCCTAAGGGAGCAATCATTATTTAAGAAATGAAAGTTAAGTGATTTGTCACTAATGTTACGGTCACTACTGTTACAATGTCATTTGTGTTATAATGTAACAGAGGGGACAGAAATTGTAACAGTGGGGACATATCGTCAGTTGAACTAGTTTTCTGCAGGCAAATTGAAAGAATAATTCATGGCTGTTTGTACAGATAATTATCATAATGAATACAATAATTTTGCTTGTAAGTTCTGAAAAATGCACACATGCATGGCCAGAAAACAGACAATACGGCAAGTATATGTAACAGTAGTGACGAAGGATGGTAACAGTTGTGACTGAAATGGATTGCAATACAGCTTCTGCTTTACTTACATAACAACTGAAACTAATATATGTCGTTTCAATTAAGTTTTATGAATTTATTTTCAAAATTACCAAATTTACATCTGTGATTGCAACAGTAATGAGTATTTTAAATACTTGTAACAGTAGGGACACTTAATTGTAACAGTAGTGACTAGAGATTTAGCGATTGTAACAAATTTTGACAAAAGTGCATTGATAAAAGTGTCAGCTAATTTTCATAGCTGTTTTGAAACAATAATATATGTAAGCTTGACATTGCTTCACAGATTTGTTTGAACTGATTGACATAATTGTTCTAATCTCATACGTTTTAGTTGCTTTGTAACAGTGGGGACACGAATGTAACAGTAGTGACAACTGATTTAATGTTGTAAGAAAATGGTTTTGGAGATTAAGTTTTACAATTGCAGAGAACTACTTTCAAAGTGCATTTCTAGTTAAAAACTGTTTCACAAAAACTGATACTGATTTCATTGAATTACCAACAGTTTTACTTGAAGTGCATATGTTGTAACAGTGGTGACACTGAATTGTAACAGTAGTGACAAGGGATTTTACAATTTGAAAGAATATGTTGTAATTTAATGTTTCTTAATTTTAATATGTGTTTAAAACATACCTCTTTAAGTTTTACAAAATTGACTTGAACTGAAATATTTGTAGACATATTTTCTCCAATTTTATGAGTTAAGTGGCTCTGTAACACTAGTGACAAAGGGTTATAAAGGTTTTGACCAACTGGTTACAAATAGGTTTATGTTTTCAGTAGTGACATAGATTACTGTAAGATTAGTGATAAGGTATCTTGAAACCCAATTTATTCCGTTTGACGTCTTTGAATATTGTTTATGTTTTCCTTGTAATATTTCAGAAGACTCTGGTGGCTTTGATGTAATTGTCAACATAGTTTCTCCATTCATCTAACACATGTTTTTGCAATTCTAGTGACTAGGGTTGTGAAATTTTCTTTAAATGTTATGTTTTCAATCATATATTTGGCTTTTTCATTGCAAAGAATCAAAGATGGGTATGAATGCGGTTGAACGCCAAAGGCGTAACAGGCAAAAGGAGAGATGGCACTCCAGAAGCATATTCATCTCTGGACAGTTTTGCACCTATGACAACAGTGATTAGAGACAATTTGGAAACACCTATGACACCAGTGAATCCCAACAAATCCATGATGCAGGAGGATGTTCAAGAGACATCTTTACCTCTTGACAGTTTGAAAGCACCAATGACACCAGTGAATCTTGGCCAATCCATGATGCAGGATGTTCAAGAGACATCTTCTTCTCTGGGCAGTTTTCAAACACCTATGACACCAGTGAATCCCAACAAATCCATGATGCAGGATGTTCAAGAGATATCTTCACCTCTTGACAGTTTGGAAACGCCTATGACACCAGTGGATCCCAACAAATCCATGATGCAGGATGTTCAAGAGACATCTTCGTCTCTTGACAGTTTTCAAACACCTATGACACCAGTGGATCCCAAAAAATCCATGATGCAGGATGTTCAAGAGAGATCTTCACCTCTGGACAGTTTGGAGACACCAGTGAATCCTGGTCAATCCATGATGCAGGATGTTCAAGAGACATCTTCACCTCTGGACAATATGGAAACACCTGTGACACCAGTGAATCCCAACAAATCCATGATGCAGGATGTTTAAGAGACATCTTTACCTCTTGACAGTTTGGAAACACCTATGACACCAGTGAATCTTGGTCAATCCATGATGCAGGATGTTCAAGAGACATCTTCAGCTCTTGACAGTTTGGAAACACCTATGACAACAGTGAATCCCAAAAAATCCACGAAGCAGGATGTTCAAGAGATATCTTCAGCTCTGGGTGAAGGGGGAGATGGAAAGTCCCATGTCAATAATGTTAATGTGCTTTTTTTGTGAGTTACCCATGTCTCAACATTCTTCTACAACAATGTTTGTTTTGAAAATGTTTTTCGTCTTAAAACCGACACGTTAACCAGTGAGACAGGTTTTTTCATTCAAATTAAAGCTTATTCAGTTGATATGATGTGTTTGTGTTTGATAACATTGTTTGTTGCGTTGAAAGATGGAATGTGGAAGTCATATAAAATTTCCTCTTTCAGCAAAAAGTCACTACTGTTATGCTTGTCACTACTGTTACTTGTAATGTCACCACTGTTATCGGCCTAAATTATAGTAAATAATTATTATTGTCCTTTTGTTTTTTGTTTTATCTGTTATTATCTAATAAATAAGCATGTAACTGTATGTTCTGAAAGAAATCTGCCGGAACAAACAATGTTTTAGTACAAGAAGTCTTGTGTCATAACTTAAAATTTTATCAAAATGTAAATTGACAAACCAAAGCTTACCATATTTTTTTTATATTTTCTTCAATTTGGTTTGTTTTGACGGCCTACCTTTAGAATACAGTACCACAAACTTTTCAAACACGTAATCATACCCTATGACGTAATTTGTAGTATTTTGTTGCCAGTCACACCGGCGAAACAATGCCCTGTGACGTCAGGGGTCATCGAGTGTGCATAAGCTCCTCTCAGTGATCTATCATCTCTACACGAAATGTCATTGAATACGCCAAGCGCTGTGGAGAGTTTTGAATATTTGTTTACTGAATATAGCCTGCGGCGGCGCATTTTATAGCAAGCGCTGGTTTACAAAAGCACTTTTATTTTTTATATATTTTTTATTTTGTTTTTCTCGTAATTCAAGTGGCTAAAAGGGTTATAAATGGGAACTAATATACATATATTATTTTTTCGGTGCATTAATTTTCATTATTATGCACAAGAATGTAGTTTGTTAGGGATATTTAGTGGTGCTGAACACATCCAGATGTCGCCAGTGTTAGGGTACGCCAATAAAGACAAACACTGCTGCTTCGTTACACTTGGCGGAAGCCCAGACGTTTAATGAAGAAGCCAAAACACGGAATGGTTGATGTGAAACACTAACTTATAACAAACGAAATAAGAGTAATGGCGTGACCATCTTTCTCTCCTCTTTCCCTATGGTTCTAAGGGCGAGATACAAAATGAACACAATAAAGCACATGTTATATCGTACAAAAGAGTCAATTAATGTCCCAGTCCCCGCTAGTCTGCCAAGCAGGGGGGTGGCGAATTCTGCCTGAACTTCGTGTACCATTATTTGATACCACACAGTCCATTTCACTGGGTGTGACAGTTTCAAAGTCACTAGGTGAAACAAGTTCACTCTCACTTTGCAAAGTGGGGCCATAGTCACTTGACACAGTCTGGCCATTGTACGTTTGGGCAGTGGGTATACCTTGGCCTGAACTGGTGGTTGGGGCTTGATCTGTAGGGCAGTATTCTGGAGGCCGCTGAGGCGGTTGGACTATTTGTTCTGGGAGGGGAGGTAGACACTGAGGAGGGCCCATCATAGGTGAGGGTTCATAGACAGAAAGCGGTGGGTGACACAGATGGGATGAGTCATCCTCAGTGGTGTAATCTAGTCCACGTATAGGACCAGGAGAGTCAGGAACCATTACAGTCGGGAGAACAGGGTAACAATTCCTGATCGGAACAGCATATGTCTTTGACCTGAACTGCGATTTGGTAAATTTCCTGACCAGGCAAGACTCACCAGAGATCTGAACGATCATGTATTTCTCTCTTGTTTTGGTTTTGTCTTTGTCATGGACAAGGAAAACGAGATCTCCGATGCGTAAACTAGGTACTGATGTCCCAGTCTTAACGTTGGCTTTTGATCTTGAACTGTAGGGATGGTTTATTTCTCGCAGGTCTTTCTGTTGGGTGATGAGGTCTGCATCTGCTAATGGTAACTGACTGCAAGTGACCTGGTCTCTTTGTGTCCAGACCTCTCTTGATGACAATCCACCTTTACGTAGTCTGGCATTCATGTTAG